TTATCCACATTTTTAATGATTATTCTTTGTCAATACTTTATAGCTATTTGCAACTTGTTGATGCAAGAATACATATACTTGTTAAGAGAATGAGCAACATCTTATCAAATCTCAAAAGCCAACTCATAAATTGTGAAAAGAGAATTGAAATCTTGGGTTATTTGATTTGAAGGAGTCAAAATGGGATTGAAATCTTGAAAATTTGGAGTCAAAACAGGATTAACATCTTGAAGCATTTTGTAAAGGTTGTATGCAGATAAAAAGACATTGTAAACTAATGCCCCATACATGAAGATGAAGCTATGTGTAAATAAATTAAATAAGATTAGATAAAATCAGACTATAAAGATCGACAAGTACCTGATTATAAAGACCAACACCCAATGGTGCTTCAATATTGTTATTCCATACTTAATTTTCTTAATTAGAAACGAAAAAAAAAAAAAAGAATATCTTAGTTGTATTAAATTTATCAACATTATATAGTAGTAGGATTCTACTCATTATACTTGCAACATGATGCATTTGCAACAAATAATTAGTCAAAAAAGCATCTTAATTCCTACCAAACTCTTTAGGTTGTAGATTTTAAAGTGCAAAATTTTACTAGAGTTCAATAGCTATTTCTCTCATTTTTGGCACCATATTAGACCTTTTTCCACCTTTTGTCTTCTTCTTCTTCTTCTTCATTTATTTTTTTTCTAATTGGCTTTTGATTCTAGCATTAGTCAATCCTTTTTTTCTGACACATCAAGAATCAAATACCACTTGGTTATCATTTACATGCATTTCTGTTGCAGCAACTTCGATTGAGCTTTCTAAGCTTTTTAATCAAGTCCAAAGTCTCCATTAATTTCATCTTCACAATTTTAGTCCCCTTAGTGGTGAGTGAACTTTTATCAGAGACATTGTGGCCAAGATGGTTCAACTTACTAAAATGTAAAAGGCGAGCAGATTTTTTGTTATCACAAGTTGAATCAACCAATTGATAAACAACCCCTTTTTTTACATTCTTTGTCCATCTTTGCATGATATATTGAACTAGTATCTCATTCATATTATTCACAACAAGTACGCTTAAAGCATGGCAACATAACCACCCCAAAGTCTCAAATAATTTGCAAGTACAAGAGATACTAAATTCAAATTTATCAAACTCTACTTTCAATACTCTTTTTGAACATGGCTTGTCAAGTTCATGTAAAAGTCTTGTCCAATCATTTTCTACCTCAACACAATTCAAGCCTAAACCCTTGAAAAACTCTTCTTTGAACATTTGAAGCGCCCTTATTGTGTAGATAGTAATAGCATGTGCCAAAATTCCTCCATAACTAATCAAATCAACAAAGGAACCATTTTTGCAACGGAAGTCTTCATCTCGTTCTCCTTGATGCATATCTCATGTCTTTTGTTCCTAATATTCAATAACTTGAATGAGACTTAAGGAGATACTCAAAATTTCATTAAAAAAAACACTATTTATACTTTCACTTCTTTGAGTAAATTTCATTTTAGTAGAAAAAAAAATCTACATTCAATTTAATACACCATTTTTCTTAAGTCTCATAGAACCTATAAAGAAACAATAAAGCTTGCAAATTAACATGGGTAATTAAAAAAATAAAGCATACTAGTGATGTCTATTTATTCTTCTCTTTTAACTTATATTCTTAAAAAAAATAAAGCATGATGGTAAAAAAGAAATAAAGTTACAATAAAATACCTATTAAACTACCCATTATTCTCTAGATTGAAGGTCTTGATCATATCCTTCCAAGTGGATTAAAATTCCATTTCATCTAGACAACCACTAAAACACTTATGAAATTTTGAATTGAAATTTGGATTCTCATAAATTCCAACAAGATGTTTTTTGGCATTATTAGAAAAATGCTATAAACATAATCGATGACGTGCTTCAAGGAATACTTTCTTAATAACATCTGTCATTGCTTGATCTCAATTTTGTGAAAATACTCTTAGGTTGTCTTCCTCCCATAGTTTCTAAGAATGTTTTGAACAACCAAACAAATGATTCAATAGTCTCATCAATAAGAAATGCACAACCAAATAACACATTCCTCCAATGATGATAAATTCTGACAAAAGGGGCACAAATTAAGTTGTATCGATTAGTCCTATAAGTAGTATCAAGAATGATGACATCTCCAAATGAATCATTGTTTGACTTTGATCTACCATCCCTCCAAAAGAAATTTGTCGTTTTCTTGGTCTACTTGCACTGAATAAAAAAATAATAAACCTTCAACTTGTCTATGCTTGAAATGATTCACGACATTTTGGCCATCCCCTACTTCAATCATCACTTTTCTCATAGAATGCAAGTAATTGTGGCAATCCTTTTGAGTAAATCCAATATGATTTATCCAACCTAATTCCTTGGTCAAGAATAAGTATGATTTTGTTGGTTTGATACCTGCATTCACCATTGAACTTATTACACCACCTTGTACTTCTAATATCTTCCTTCCAAATCTTGAACTGCACCTTTCTTCCTAATTTGCAAGTTCATGGTTGTGCACATTATTAGAATGAATAACCTCCTCTAGCCTGACATCCTATTTTTGTCTTTAAATGATTAATCTTTTTCACATTACAAGAATCTCCATCCCTATGAAACCCTTGCTCTAAACATATGCATTCTCATTATCGAAGAGTACCATAAACAAACCACATGTTCCCTTTCCTTATACTTAAGCCCTTTGATAAAGCATAGTGATTGGAATGATGATATGCTTCTTCTTTGGATTTGACTTTAAACCAACTTTAAGCTTATCATCAAATTTAGAAGAAATTCCAATCTCAAAAGCCATAAACATATCTATAGAGAAAATCATTTATAATTTTAAAAAATTAAAAAATTTATTATGTCTATTATAACAAATTACAAAAAAAGAAGCATAAATCCAATTCATAATAGAATTGTCCAAAGCATATGGTAATGGAAAGCAAACCTCCTTTGGAAAAGAATCAAGAAGATGAAGAAGGCCCACTTTTTGATTCACAAAAGAAGAGCAAATTAGATGGAGCAGGGAAAATCTGCAACATAAATATCTTTGCATTTTTATATTTTTGCCTAAGGTTAATGGTTTAAACGAGGAGAGATTGTAATCAACTCTAACACCAAAAGTCTAGAAAATAATGAAATGAAAAAAAGAAAGGAAATGAGAGAAGTGGAAAACGCTGGAAACAAATTTTACTTTGGAAAGATTTGTTATGAGTTAAATGCTGAGAAAAAAAGTGTACTGAGAACTTTATTTTGAAAAAATTTTCCGTGAACTAAATTTGCCATGAGTTAAATTTAGGTTTGCCGTTGGTTTTTTTCTCTATGTTAGGTGATTGATGAGGTGTTAAAAAAACTGCTCATTGGGTGGTTTTTAATTGTAGTGAGATACCACTGACCTGGTACGCCGGTGATAGCCCAGACTTTCTCAACTTCAAGGGACGCATTCCCGTCCTCTGTGCTTCCTCCCGAAACCTCCTCCACAACCACCCAGTAAACTTAGCATTAACGCTCCCATCATCTTCCTCCTCCATGTTCGCCTCTGCAATTCAAGAATTTCACCAAAACCAGAAATCACAGGGGAACGTTATTCTAAAATGCGCCGTATGCGTCACTAGTGCTTTGCCTTCGTCGGACTTATGTTGAGAAAAAGCAGTATCAAATGGCATATTGGATCTCCTCGAAGCTCACAGCCACTAAGACAATCCTTCAACGAGCAATTTTCTCTCCCTCTTTCTATTTTATGCGTTTAAATTAGTCTATTTCTTCGTAAATTCTTTTCATTTGTTTGATTACCGGGAAACAGTGGAAAGGAGAAGTTAAAAACTTTAGCATTGTAGATTCGATTGTGGATTGATCGATATGAATTCGTTTCATTGCTTTGTCTTTAGATTGTAGCATTATTTTGAACAGTTTTGATATTTTTGAGTAATTTGATTTAATTTGTTTGGTGGACGACTTAGTTCTATCAGCAAGCAATGGAGTCACTTAGGAAGAATGAGAGGCCTCGATTTGATTAGTTGAAGTTAGAAACTTTGATGAAATCGAGTGATGTTGTTTCTTTGAAGGATCAGTTGAAGAAGAAAATGCAAGAAAACAATTACCAAGGGAAATTACATAGTGATTCTAATGTTAACTCGGTTAATGGTGATAATAGTTCTGTTAATAAGCAAAATCGTGAGAAGGAGATTGCTAGTTCTCTGAATCCTTTGCCGAAACCTAAGGCTACTCGTACAGATAATGATTGGACTGAACTCCTTGGAACGCCTAGTCAGGGAAGAAGCTCCTCAAGAAAGCAGAATAATGGGGTGTCTACGATTCATGGGTTGAGGAAAGATGGTAAAAGGTAGGGGAGTTTGGGGTCAAATTTGTTATTGACAGAGGGGAAGAGAAATAGTAATGCCATTAAATTGGTAAGGAGGTCAGACATTGCGTTGAGAGCTAAGTTAATTGGGAGGCCAAGTGACAGTGAAGAGTCTAGCTCTTCAGGGTGGCCCTCGAGTGTTGATATGCAGAATGATGGCAAGAACTCAGAAGGGCTATTGTTAGATCAGGTCTTAGGCACAAACTTTCCAGCAGAAAGAAAATATGAGATGGATAGTGAAAATGGTACATCAAATTCTGAAGACCTTTTATTGGAGGGTCCATCACAGTCCCTAAACAAGAATTGCTCTTTGGAAACCCTGGTGCTATTGAGGAAAGTTGCTGGAGCATCTGATAGGAAGATGGAGTTGGTGGATGCGCAGGATAAGCGAAGAAGTACCATAAGGGAGAAACCCAAGTCAAATGTTGCAGTCACTACTGCAACTGCTAATGATTTAAAAAGAAGCTCTTCTTTTACAAGTGATGTAAGCTTTGCTTCAGATTTTGATTCTGATTCAACCTCTGACTCAGAAAGTGAGTGTGAGGAGGAGGAAAGGAGGAGGAGAAGGGAAATGCTTTTGGCTGAAAAAGCAGTAGCTAAAGCTGTGGCGGCCATCAAAGAACGTGAGAATATTGTTGCCAGATTGGAAGGAAAAAAGCAAAGTTTAGAGAAAATACTTGAGGAATGAGCCAAGCAACAGGCATGATAAGTAACATTATGCAGCTTTTGTTAATATTAACATTTTTTTTCTGCCACATGTATTATTGTTGCTTAATATCATCCCAGAAATTAATTTTATTAGTTCAAAACAATTTAGAAGAGCTCTAAACAATTCTATTGAAAAACCCTCCACCTTTTTATGGCTAAATTCTGCTTTCATGATTTGAGCCATGGTGTTCCATACTCCAATTTAATTGAAAAGAAACATTAATACCTATAGTTGCAACTTGACTTCAATGTAATTGAACCCATATTGTGTTGTGTATTGTGTGAAGGGCTAGGCTAAGATTGCATTTAAAAGGTTTGGCATGTGCTAGGATGAAAAATCTTAATTTGACTTCTGTTTAAGTTAGGATTAGGGTTTTTTATGTTGCATAATTCCAATCCTAAATGACCTACTCAATATGGATGACATGTGTTATGATTTGTTTTCTTGAAGATGGTTTGGCTTTGAGCCTAATATATTAACGTCTTGGAGTTTGTCTAATGAAAGATCTTGAAAAATGCCTCTTCATGCATTTTCATTTAATTTTAATTGAAAAGAGAATATAAGTATATTCCCCTTGCTACAACCCTTTTTTCCTCATGCGCTCTGGCAGCTCCTTGGTTGCTAGTACTAAAGATGTGGAAGTTCTATGCTTTCGGTTTTTCAACTTCCATTCCCTTCCCTTATCCTTTTCTAAGCAGTAACTTCTGTAATCTTCTTACTTTCTTCAGGCTTCATAGCTGCAGACAACTGTGATGGAAATGATGGAAGCCATTGAATTAGAGAAGTAGTAACATAATAATACTAGAATGGAAGCCCTACAATGATTAGTTAAACTAAAGGTGCTGAAACGTGTTTCATATGGCTACTTTACAATTTTAGGGTAAATTTAATTTTTGCTACTTGTCTTTTTTAACCATATTACTTATGCTCCTGTGTTTAAAATTTTCACTTGAGCACTTATGGTTCACTTCATTTCCTTTGGTGCATGACACCTGTTAAATTAATTTGAATTGTCCAAATACCCTTCTCAATTATTGAGCATGTGATCGAGTAAATTTCATTTATGTGCCCATGGGAGTGTGTTTTTGGATTTAAAGTAATTCTAATGATGTCATTGTCACGCTCCCAGAGGAGACAGGGTCAACCCAGGTGCAATGCAAAATATTTTAACACAGAAGTGCATAACTGAAAACATCAAAACCAGAAGATGCAAAAGTGAAATATACTCTTTATTTTACATACACAGTCTTATTCATTTTTTTTTTCTTTTCTGTTTGTCTGCAAATGTTGATTCTAAGTTTCTAAAGATCTCTAGTAATTGTAGACCGCGAATGTTGATCTTGCAAGGTCACTTGCTACCGTGTAGAAGAAACTTGAACTAGAGGCTTGATGAAATCTATTTAGTTTGCTTGGTTTATCCTTCCTGTTGGAGTTTTTGTTCAGAAGAAAAGTTTTGGGTGCAATAATACTGCAGTTGATGCCTCATTGGGTCATGGTATCAGTTTAGTTTTTTCAAGTTACTAAAAAGAGAAACAAAGAAAAATTATAGAGGGTTTGCATTGATGTATTTTGATTAAGATCCATTTCAATTGTGTGAATCAAGCAGAGAGTAGAATATGAGCCACCTCTTTCTAGTTTCCACCATCATTTTTGAAATTCCAACAAAACTAGTATATTTTTATTTATTTACTTATTTTTTCCTTTTGAAACCAGATTAATCAAGTAGCAGAACTCTGGCAACAAATTTTGTCCAAAGAAATAGCACATGAAGGTATTCTTTCCATCTGACTATAATTCTAGATAGATATTTTGTTTCATCTTACTTTATTAGAATAACAATGAGCAAAAAGTGATGTTCTGTTTGAATGATGCTTGGTGGTTTGGGACCAGTGACTATAGTTGATGAAATGGGATGTTTGTTTCAATGTATAATGATGGATGTCTGTTTCAACAAATGATATAGCTAGTTAGGATTCATGAAGTTAGACTAGGCTAATTATTTACTCCATGAAAATGGATTAAGTTTACAGACAAAGAGTGGTTGACAGTATGGCAATTCAGCAAAAAGTGATATACTCTGTGAATGATGGCTTGATTAAATGGGACAACTGACAATATATAAGGAAGGATGACTGTAGAATGTCATTTTCGCCTGGGCTTTTCTTATGTGGAGGATAATGGAGCTGACTTGAATCAGATGTACTTTTCTAATGTACAAATGAAGTTTCTCTTAAGGATCTGCAATTCTGGATTCAAAGAACTAACAATTGCCTAAGCTTTATAGATGGCATGCGTAACAAAAGACTAAAGGGAGTATTTGAGGGCTAGGAGAGGAGGATATCTGGATTCAAAATGATGTTATTTTTCCATCTCTCATGTTCCCCTTTCCCTGATCTTCATTTCTTTATGGTGCTTGTGGTTGTTCCAAAAGATTATAATATGTTGGATTTTTAGGGTCTTTTTTCCTTGTTTCATTTGTATTTATGCCTCTGTATTACAGTTCTAGAGATACTTATTTAAAAAGAACAAAAGGAAACATAAAACCCAAACATGCAAAAAAGTTGCTGCTTTTTGTACATATGGATTGATAATTTAGGAACTCTATTTTTTTGTTTGCTGGGTTCTTTTGTCCTTCTCTTTAAATAGGTATTATTATTAAATTTCCAATGCTTTATGTTAAATCTGGAATCTTAGACACAATAATATGAAACATTCACCATTAAATGAAAAAGGGAAATAAACTTTTCTTGTGTTTCTTGTTTGGCATTACCATGAAATTTATCTAGATTTATTAGTAGTTTGGTGAAAAGTTGCTGATAATAATTTTGCACCTTGTAGAACTGAGAATGAGGATCTCTAGTTCCAGTACTCATCAACCTGGAACTTATCAAAACCAAGTTAGTCTAATATTCCTCTTATCACCTTGGTGTATAGATAGGGTTATGGAGAGGGCTGTAATCTGTATATAGTGTGCAAGGATTTTCTCTTTTCATCTAAGAATTTTGTATCAACAGGTCCTCATGGACTTTTTTTACTCATATGAAATTTTGCAGTTAGCAGCTTCAAAGGGTGTTGAGTTTGAACATGAAATCCTTGAGGTTGAGTACTCTCTCATCTGATAAGATTGGAAAATTGCAGCAGAAGGTTAGCTATTATCTCATAAGTATATAAATTCTTCCATTTCAAGTATTGGATGCTTCAGTCTAAGCACATTTATCTGTTAGTTTCTGAAGAGCATATGTTAGTACTCAGCACTGAATTTCCAGGCACTGACGGAACCTATAAATACTTCTGTTCCGACCCTATTCGGAATTTTGATGATGTAATGCTATTTTATTGAGACTATTTGCCAAAATTTCAATGGCCTACTTTTATGGTTCTTCATATTCTCTTGTAATTCTTTCATTGTTCTTCTGTTTATTTCAAAATTCTGCTACTTTCTCTTTTTTTATGTTATTCTTTATTTCAGTTGTCCTACATTAGGTAATGCATGCATAACTAATCTCTAGAAGCTTTAGTCGCTTGTGGTTTTGTGGAGACATAGGATTTGATCTGACAATAGATGTCTGTAAGCTTGGAAAGATAAGACTACATTATTCATCTAGATAATGGGTCTCTCTACTATGTTTTACAATCAAGATACTCGAGTTTACATGTTACATTAACCTTTTCAAAATCTAGTGTAAATAATATCTTGTCAAGCATATTTTAGCAAGTGATTTATTGTTATCCATATGGTGACAAAAAAATATAAAAATGATACTGTTATCCATATAGGTCCATCTGCGAACTTTTGTTTGGATATCTACTTGTTCTATTTAGACAAAATTGTTCATTTTGTTATTTTGGGAATTATTCATACCTATCTGATTTGCTTTTTTGTGTTGTAGACAAAACAGCTGGAGTCTAATATTGAACTTACAAGGAAAAAGATAGAGGAACCAACAGAAGTAGAAGTTGAACTCAAGCGGAGGCTTGGACACCTGACTGATCATTTAATTCAGAAACAAGCTCAGGTCAGTATTTCAAACCTCTTATTTTCTTCTAACAATTTTTCTGACTATAAAAGTGGAATACATTTTCTTCAAACAATAATTTGCAGCTATGTTCTTAATATAAAAAATTTTATTAGTTGATGAAAATATACGAAGGATAAGAGTCACTCTTTAAGAATCTCACAGCGGACAGAGACTCGCCCAAAGTGGTTGGAGCTAGCTAGATCTAGTAGTTTTGGCTGGAAGCTATGGTAGTGTTATGCCTGGCTAGATTTGGGCTTGATCTCTGCCACATCTTCCTTGATTTGGTTCTACTTCGATTCCTCGCAGTTTTCTTTGATTCCAAACATCTCCAAAGCTTTATTGGAATCATTCAGGATTCCTTTTGAATCTCTAAAACTTGGGTATAATTAATGATTGAAACTCAAAAGAACTTGATTTCTGTTTTAGAGGGCTCTAAACCCTAATCTTGAAACATGATCAAATAGATAAGATTAGTTGATAACAAAACATAACAAGAACATGTCACTTTCTTATCGTCCACAATTCCATGTTGCGAAGAAGGTAGAATCACATAATTTTACTTTATTACACCAAAAACTAGAGCTAAGATGTTCCTGTACTTTTGAAGCACAAGAAAATGATTTTTCATGTTAAAAGAAGATTTCGGATTTGATTCTGTTTTGGGTTGTTTGAAACCTGAAGAGGACGTCACACTCTAGATCAAAAGATGGTTTCCATCATTGTAAATACTACTCACCTTAGCTTTTGTTTCTAACGAACAAAGCTCAAAAATACATTATTTCCCTCTAAAACCCAAGGAAGTCTTGGTCACAAGTATTCAAGTGTTAAGAGTTGCATTCTAAATGGACCCTCAAATTTAAAGATCTGGGATTTAGAACCTTAATAAATACCGTCATCACTTACAATTCTCATATTCCGTCGAGAGTTTTTGGGTTTTAAGAAAAAAAAATTGAGTGCTTCCATGATTATTATTCAAGAACAAAAGATAAGTATTTCTAGAGGTGGAGATCATCTAGAGCGCATCACAAACACCTTCGCAGGGTTGGGTTAGAACTTAGAAACACCTCAAAACAAAGCAAACCAAAAAACATGTTCCTTGACATGAGAATCATTGTCCTTGCTTGAAATATGCGAGAACATCATAGCATAGTTTTTATTTGATTCTAATTTCTGTAGAATATAATGGATGGTGAGAAAGAGATTTTAATTTTGTTTTGCATTTTTATTTTCTGACCTTGCTTGTTTAAGTTTGATACAAGATTCGGGTCAATAGAGCCTTTGAATAGAAATCAAGGTCCTTATAGTTTTCAATGTTATATTTGAGTTTTGAAGGTCTAGGGAAGATATAGAGGTGTTCCAGCTCTTTGCAGATTTCAGAAACCAAGAGGAACCCAAGAGAGGCAAGAAAGATCAAGATCAAAAGATAGAGTGACGAAGCCAAACTCAGATCTTGTCGGGTTTGTTGGATCTAGTCAGATCCATACCACTGACCAATTCTTCATTGGCTATAGAACCTCACACTTGGAAGAGGGTCATCATTAATGTATCTTATCTTTTGAGCTTGGGAGCTTTGTTAAACACACAATAAATTAGTTTTTCATGTATCACTTTTTACTTCTCCAGTGTTGCTACTTTTGTAGTCCTTAACAGTGGAAGTGTCTAATTGTTGCAATTGTCCTATTTGGTTGCAAGGAAGAGAGAAATGGAAAATTTATATTAGTTACTATTTTCTTGGATTTTTTAGTTATTTTCATTTGCGTTCCTTATGTATAGGATAACCTTAGTGTTTCCTATATATATTCATTTTTTCACTCTGTCAACCAGGTTGAGGCATTGAACCAGTCCTTCGGGGTCTAATGGTTCATTCTCAAGTTTTAGTACTTGGGTAAAGTTGGTCAGAAATTTGACTCTTATCAACCACTTGAATATTCGCATTAGGCTTACAGGTTATTGGTGTTTCTCTCAGCCATGGGTCGGGTCCATTCCCTTTCCCCTTCCCCTATAATTGCCCTTGTTCTAAAAAAAAAAAAAAGAAGGGCCAGGTTGAGGCACTCTCCTCAGAGAAGGCAACTTTGGTGTTCAGAATTGAGGTATAACTTGTACCAACTATTGGTATTACTATTTTACTCAAGCTCAACAGGTCTAGAATTTACACTTTAGAACATGCTGCATTTCGCAGACAGTTTCAAGGATGTTGAATGAGGCACCAAGGGATTAGGAATCGGGGACGTGGGAGCTCTCTGAGTCAAAGCTGAAGCCTCTTCAAGACAAAATTCGTTTTGGACAGAAGCAGCTGGGATCATTACTACTGCAATTGGATGCTATTTTCTCAGCTGATGTGGTTTTTCTGAGAAGAAATCCAGCAATAAAAATGTGGTCTCTCGTCTACTCTGCATGCCTTCACTTTGGGGATGCACTTGCGGCCATCAAACGAAGCAAGGTCTGGTGCTGTGATTTCCTTGGAGAACATTAATAACACTGCTGGGTGTATGATTTATAATCAATGGTGCATTATTCCATAATTCATTTGTTTTACCTCTTCTTTAAGAGGTTCCTATACGCACTGTATTATTTGTGCAGTTAACCCTACAACCATCTAAACCGAGTCTTAGGGGATGTATTTGTTCAAAATGTTGTAAACAAATGGCGGCACGGATTTTAACATTCTGTACAAAGATGAGAAGCAGAAAAAGTTTACATCACTTGCACAGAATTAAGTTTTCTTGTGCATTATTTGAAAAAGAAAAATGATACATACACTCTCTAAAATTACACATTTCATTACATATTAACGGTTTCGTTAATATACCATTAAAATTAACAATTTTCGTTACTTGTGTGATGGTTTTTATTATTTTTACTGTTAAAACTAATGATTTCTGTAAATTTTAGCAGCACACTAATAAAAACTGTCGATGTGTAACGGAGAATGTACTTTTATAGGATGTATGCATCAATGTCTTTTAAAATAACATCAGTAGTGCTAAGGTAAAAACTTCATTTTTGTTTCAAAACGAACGCTAGAAGGCCTCTATTTCTAGTTACTCCCACGCCTGATGGCTAAATTTCTTGCCATATTTTAACACCACATCACCAGCTTCTCTATAGTGTTCTTCCATTTCTTTCTTTTTTTCATCCTCTTCCTCTTCCTCTCTTCATCCTCAAATTTCACGTTAATCTAATTTATCCCCCCCTTTTTTTTTTCAAGAATGAATTAGGTGAGACATAATACTTATATGGTCAAGTACAAACTTCAAAAGGCCAGGTCATTTGACCCAAAAGTTACTGCTCATATTCAAATTTTATTTTAGATTTCATCATTTAGTTTATCATTGTGTGAAATTTTGTAGGAGGAGATGAGTAAAATGGTATGAGGTATGTCTTTTAATTTATAATTCTATTTCTACTCATTTCAATGTGAAAGCAAAGATTATTTATTTCTATTCTATGCCAAGACATGATTTTATTGAAAAATTTTTAATTTCATTTTAATTTATGCAGGTTATGATTACTAGTCGATAATTGTTGTGAACTTAAAGATGAGTTTACTAACAATGTTGTTATTTAATTTCAAGAACAATTTATAAGTTGTTTTTAATTTACTAAAAATAGTTTCAGCTTTTAGTAGTAATTATTAAAATTCTTAATGATGAAGGTTGAGTGATTTCAAAGAACATTGTAGTATTAATTATTTTTGCTCATTGATTTAATTTTATTGTTTTGTTAAAAATTTTAAGTATAGCAACTAGCAAAAGGTACGTGTTGATTTTTTTCTTTTAAGATGAATATTTCATTATTCATGAAAAGAATTTGTACACAATTGTACAAAAAATAAAAATAATAAATATTATAAATTTCAAATTTTGATTGTTTAGAACTAATATCCAAATTCTGAAATTCAAAAACATTTTTTATCTTTTTTTTTTTTTCTGGAATCAGCACAAAGATCGTATGTTTTATAATAAAGTAAGGCTTTATTTACTATGTTTCAAATTTTAAATAAAAATTTTCTTTTATTTTCATAAGTTTTAATAATTTTATCCTAATTAAACTAGTTTATATTTTTTGCTGTAAATGTCAGAATTTTTTTAAATAAATTGTTGATTTTTTTATTTTAATTTTAACTTTCAATAATTACGAAATTTATAAGACCTAAAATCACAACTATACTAATTGTATACTAATAAGCTATAAGTTACATTCATAGATTACAAAACAATATTTTAGAAATGCACTCCTTCATGTGGTTTAAGTGATCACGTTTTTTTATGTGAAAAATAAAGTGAAATGCAACACATGATCATCAAGTCGACTTTTCCATCAATACTCGTACAGGTTTTAATTTACTAATCGTGTTTCTTATGTTAAAAATATATATATATATTTCAGCGATAAAATTAATGTGTTTATTGAACAATCTATACTGTTTGTTGCTGATTTTTGAAAATCAAAGATATAATTGTTAGGTCCATCAGTGATTTTTTGCAAGGGTAATTCTAGGAAAAAGGGGAAGGCAATGAATTCAGCTTATGGATTGGGAAAAGTATTAATAATTCGTAAGTCAAATATAAATACTTAAATAGTTAAGAAATTTAAATTTTTTATTAATTTAATTTAAATATTAAAATTTAAAGACAAATTATTAAAAAAAAAAGGTTAAGTTCCTCTATAAGTGATTTAGGGAGGTTGGA